TTCGGCCCCGTGGCGCTATCGTAACTTCAGCGTGTACGCAGGTGACAAGGCGTACGGGCCCTGTGTAACTGCGTGTGCGCGTTGAACTCGGCCAGCCGTCCGCTGGGTGAGACCGGCCTGCGCGGCGGTAGGGACCGCTCAGGTATTTGTGTTTCCTTAGAGGCATCAGTGCTTTCGCGGTCAACTTACGAACTTCTGTAGAAACAGTTCATTAGATTTATAAAATAACTGCATAAATATTCTCATTTATGCAGTAATTACACATCTTGTCCTGCACCCCCCACCCCCATTTTTTAACAATATTTTGTCTCTTCAAAAAAAAAAACAAACCACCACAAAACAAAACCAGCCCCAGGGAAGCAGTGTTATAATATAACGATATTTATCTGTCTAGAAATATTTCTCAAGATGTTAAAACTGTATGCAAATAACCTGATAAGGGCGTACGACTGCTTCATAAAAAGAGGATTAAAACTTTGTAACTTGAGAAAGCTGGCATTCTGTACGCTAGTCAAGAGGTCAGAAACTTGAAGGAGCGCTGCATGCGTTATTCCTCATAGCCATAAAGGACTGTACTGCACCTAAGGTGAAGGCTGCTATGGCGTGCTCCTTTTCATAAAAATAATGCTTTGTTTTTATTGGATCCCTGTTTAGGGCCGCACACCAGTGGAGAATGTCCAATCTCTTTAGCTTTTCATGAGTTCAAGCTCTAAAAAAAAATTTGTTTGTTTCAATTTGTTTTTGGTGTTTATAAAGTGACAGTAACTGGAGGTAATTTTATACCTGTAATATGGAATGAAATGATACGGGTATTAGCTCAGTGAAGAATATTTTATCTGTTAAAACTACAAAGCAGTATAAAGAGTGTGTTTCAGATTCATCTATTCTCTGGTGATGAAGTGATGATATTTCATTTCTGACATATTGTATAGACCACATGCAGACTTAATTACAAAAAAAAATTGATACTGTTCTCCATCTTTGTGGAATTGGTTTGTTTCTACCATTTATTAGTTTGAGGTTTTCTTCCTTTTATTCATGGCTAATGTAATATGTGGGCTCTGGTACTGCAGACACTTAAATGCTATATCAGTATGAGTAATCCCTTAAAAGTTGATTAAACTATTCACAAAATTAAGGCTCTTGTGTATCCTTATGTGCCTGCAAGAATAAGATTTGGGTCAATATTTAATATTCCCAGAGACTTTATGTTTTCCTGGAAGTAATTTAGAATTGTATCTAATTGCTATGATCCTGTTTCACAATACAGTTATTTCCAATAGGTATTGGATGTCTGTAATCTTTAAGATTGCTATAAAAGGGACTAAAATTTATTGTTTTCTTGAAAATACTTTCTTCTGTGTTAGTGCCACAGAGTTCAGGCTTTGTTTTCTTCCAAAGCTCGGAGTGCCGCTTACTGCTGTAATTCACACCTCTTTTTCTTATGCTTTTTCCTTTCCCTCACCATTAGTTTTTTTCCTGGAAAACCCAAATCAGATTGTTATGCGATGACAGAGACTTGCCTCTTTTTCTCATCTCTTAGTACTGCAGGAAGCACAGTTAGCAGTATTAGTGGTCTTCTAGCATACGTTTTAATTCACCAAGTCCATTAAAAGTGGCACTGTGTGTTTTGGAAGGATTTCTGTGTCGTACATCCGTAGCTGGGGGCATGCTTTAAATAAAAGAGGAAGATTGAACACAATTTTTCTCAGTCCTGGTTTTGAGCAAATACAATTCTGTGGAACACAGTGGCAATAAACAACTTGTCCATAATACTGCGTTTTGGGTATGCATTATATGATGTCTTCTCGTTCAGACTTCTCAGGCAGCTATCTGAGAACAATCGTTGCATCAGGTCTGTCTCAGAAAAATTCGCAGTGTTAGTTACTTTTTGAATACATTTTGAAATACTCTGACAAAATGTCTTAAAAGCTGCATTTTCCTTAAAAGCTTGAGTTAGATTTATTTTCTGTGTCACAAAATGTTTCATGTCTTACATAACTTCTGCCTTTCATGCTTATATCGCAACATTTCTTTCTGGATCATGATGACTTACACATTTCCATATGCATGGATAAACCTAATACTCTATCTGGCAGATTTCTATTTTAGTATTTTAAAAGGTAAAGAAATGCAATAACCTTAATAATACTGAATGAAAGTTTCAAACAACCATTAAAACTTAATAAGAGGGCAGGGGTAGGAATTTGAGCATGTGTAAGTGATGCAAAGTATGTGATGTCAGTCTTAAAATTTTTCTGGGTTACAGAGTACACCTGATGATTACTACATAGAATCACAGAATAGTTTAGGTTGGAAGGGACCTCTAAAGGTCATCTAGTCCAACTCCCCTGCTGTGGGCAGGGACATCTTCAGCTAGACCAGGTTGCTCAGAGCCCCGTCCAACCTCACCTGGAATGTTTCCAGGGATGGGGCATCCACCACCTCTCTGGGCAACCTGTGCCAGTGCTTCACCACCCTCAGCGTAAAAAATCTCTTCCTTAGATCTAGTCTAAATCTACCCCCCTTTAGTTTAAAGCCATTCCCCCTTGTCCTGTCGCAACAGGCCCTGCTAAAAAGTTTGCCCCCATCTTTTTTATAAGCCCCCTTTAAGTACTGACAGGCTGCAATAAGGTCTCTGCGAAGCCTTCTCTTCTCCAGGCTGAACAACCCCAACTCTTTCAGCCTGTCCTCATAAGAGAGGTGTTCCAGCCCTCTGACCATTGACCGTGGCCCTACTCTGGACCTGCTCTAACAGGTCCGTGTCTGTCTTGTGCTGGGGGCCCCAGAGCTGGATGCAGTACTCCAGGTGGGGTCCCTCAGTCTGCTGGCCACGCTTCTTTTGATGCAGCCCAGGATACGAGTGGCCTTCTGGGCTGCAAGCGCACATTGCCGGCTCACGTCCAGCTTTTCATCCACCAGTACCCCCAAGTCCTTCTCGGCAGGGCTGCTCTCAATCCCTTCATCCCCAGCCTGTATTGATACCAGGGGTTGCCCCCACCCAGGTGTAGGATCTTGCACTTGGCCTTGCTGAACCTCAGGAGGTTCACATGGGCCTACTCCTGAAGCCTGTCAGGGGCCCTCTGGGTGGCATCCCTTCCCTCTAACTAATTGACTGCACCACTCAGCTTGGTATTATTTGTAAACTTGCTGAAGGTGCACTGAATCCTGCTATCTGTCATTAATAAAGATATTGGACATGATCACATGCTTTCCATAGCATTCTGTAGTTTTTCTGAGGCTTGTTGGATAAGCTGGGAGCAACTGTGCAGTATGTTACGTGTCAACCTTTCTTCCTGTTGTCCATCAATACAAAGCGTACAGCTACAATATGTGTGAAACACATTAGGGATTCATGCTATAAAGTGTGGATTACATGAAGTTTTACATAGCCTCGTTAAATTAATTTGTATTTGCTGAGGGTAATACCATGCGAATCTCCCTTAAACCAGCAACAAGGTTTTGCTACTTTCGCCTTCAGACTACTATGTTACATTGCTCCTGTCCGAGGTACAGGAATACATACTAGTCCCTTTGTAACTCAGTTGCTCGTGTACAACACGAATGTGCTTCTTGGTGGCTTATACAACTGTTCTGCTCATCTGTAGAATGCTGGTGACAAGGAACCCTGGGTTTTGTCTGTACCTCAGAGATGAGTGGTTTATACTTGACAGAGCTGATTTATTTTCTGTGGCGGAGCAATGCGCATTTAAAATGGGAATTCTTCGCTCTGGCTTGGGGCCTGTAAAAGTCTTGCATTGCTTAGTAGCGCTCTGAAGATCATAATCCATTTATTAGTTTACTAAATAACATTTAAAATAGCCAATAGGAATCAGTATTTCCTCTGTTAGAACGAAATCTGTGAACAATTAGTCACTGCTATGCAATAAAAAAAAGTACGTCCAGCAACTGGGTGTCTCCAGAAATCACATGATCATAGTGTGTTCCTACAGTTGGCCTTTAGAATACTGTAAGAATAGTCTTCTGAGTAGTCATTTACACTATGGCTGCAGTTCTTGAAGATATATTTGTATGTGAATGAATTAAAATCTTGGGTCTCCAAATTCTGTTCATTTTAGTTGTTACCCTTCCATTACCTTGAAGTAGTGTTTATCCAATAGGATTCTACAAGACTAAAGTAATGTAGTAACACGTATTACTTTTCACCAATAATTTTATTGTCTTAAAGTCAAAAGCTATTCATGATTATATTCACTCATCATGATTTCTGTTTCTTTACAAGCTGGCCATGGAATTCCCATCAGAAGACATTTTTTTAATGACAACTTCTCCAGTTATAAAAGCTGTAACGAATTTCAAACAGGTAAGAGAGACTTAATTTTTCTTTAGAAGTTTGTGTATGTACGGATAATTTAGAACCTAATCCTGAAAATGCTTATGATTCTGAACTTGTTTTTCACATTAGTGTGACTGCAGTGGTGTTAGTAGGACTGTTGAGATGTTTTGGAGTGATTCATAATCATTAGTAATTGGTGCATATATTCACAACACTCGAGCAAAGGTTAAACTGGGTGCTTACATTGTTGAAGTACTTTCTAAGATACTGAAGCTTCATTTCACTGCTTTGTTAATGGGTATGCTCCCTTTTAAGCACTGAAATGGTATCTTTGGAATAAATTACTTAAGAAACTTAGTCTGGCTAGTGGTTCTCATATACAGTAGTGTGTTTGAATTTCAGGCAGAAACAGACTTCTGACAAGTAACAAAAAAAAGGCATAGCCTTCTGTGAAATTGCCTTCAGCTTTGTCTACGTCTCCAGCAGCTGGTGATTCAATGACCTCTTTCCTGCTAGTTTGAAAAAAAAAAACAAACCAACATAAAATCCATGCATGAGTTCAGATTTCTGGCTAGTAGGTTCAGTAAACTAGTTTCGCAGAGGTGCTCAGAGCTTGGAAAGCACTACTCTTTTTCCCACTCCAAGGGAGCTTTGAACTCTACCATAGAGGCATGGAAAGAGGTGGAGACTGGATTGCGCAGAACTCAGGATGCAAAGCTGCCAGCCAGTAAGAAGTTAGGTTTTACCTCTCAGGGAAAGTTAAGACACCAAGAGCTGGGCTTCCACCTGGCATTTATATTCATGACTCTTTCTGAAACATGGTATTTAACAGGTGAGGCGTATCTCATGACGAGTAAAGAAAGACCACTCTGCAGTTTATCTGACAGCCCGGTTTTAACGTAATTCTTCCTGGTGTATGAATGCCTAATTCAAATCACTACAGGGGGAAAATAAAGCATAAAGAGATTTGAACAGCTGTTCTTTTGCATTTAGTGGCTGTAATTGGCTATCAGCATCTCTTCCTTTTGCACTGTGGTTTTTGTCCGGGGCTAACGGGGTGCTGAGAACATAGCTGAGAGACTGAGAGAGCTCTGTGAGACTGGTAGGCTAACACCCAACTAAAGAATATCTTCTGAGTTTGAGAGTGCTGACAGTAGGGTCACGAGTATCCAGGAAGGACACTTACATGTTGCAGAGATGTAAAGTCTGTAATTCACATCGGCAGAAGTTTCAGTATCTGAAGAATAAGGGAATAGCTAAACAGTATTTGAAGGCAGCATCTCAGTTTTGGACATGAGCATCTTCGTTTTGCTCTGAATTGCAAGCATGGTGTGGCTTCTGGTTCCTAGCTATGTTCCAGACTCTCTGAATATTCTATAAAGTAGAAGGCCTGGAGATTCCCATGCAGCCGCTCCCTTCTGGAAGAAATCCCAAATCAACATAACTTACTTGAATGTTTTCAAGTTGTGGTTTGCCTCTTCCCCCCACCCCCCACCGGCTCCAATCTCTTGAAATATCAGATAGTGACTACGGATGAGATGCTAACTAAGTAAGTGCTTTGGGGTGGTCTTGAATCTGTTTTGCCTAAACACTTGTCTTGTATGTCCTGCTTACAAGCTGAACAACAGTAAGCACTTTTCCTGACATAAGGGCCAAGTACCGGCAACAGGAGGTTTTTGAATCATTAGGTTTTTGAAGAAAACGTCACCAGATTTTTTTTCAAAAATAGAATAAAAATATTTATTCCAGACAAAAGTGTGTTTCCATAATTCTCTAAGCTATTTTGACCAAATTTTTTTCCCCAAAATACCGAGGAGAGGAAGATGCTTGCATGGGGGAACATCATTGAGTTATTTTATCAAAGTTATAACACACAGAAAAACAGGGTCTTAACACTGCATCAGCTAAGTTAAAAAGCAGTGTTGCCCACTCTAATAATACAGTCTATATGTGGAATAAAACATTACAGCAGTTAGAGCAGCCATCAGGGTTCTCCATTTTTGCTTAATCTCTAGCTTTAGAATTAAAATTCTCTGTGCTACTATGACTCTTACCAGGAATAGGCATGAAAGGATTCTGTATATGAAAAGGAACTTTTAGCAGTAACATGATAACATGTTTTGAGACATTATGGGCTTTATGTTGTGACTTCTTTACTGGAAACGAACATAAACACATTTTGTTACAAGCTTTAGAAAGAGATGAATAAATGATTCATATTTTCAAATACCTCTCTTCTTCCTACAGGTCTCCAAAACACTTGAGGAATTTGATGTAGAAGAGCAACCAAGCTCTCTGTTAGAAAGACGATATCCCAATATTAAAGTTATACAGTCTGGAGTAAAACAATTGAAAAGTGATGAACATGTAAGCTAATGTTTTCTCTTTTATGTGGTTTTTTCAAATTATTAAAAAAAAAAATCTAAAACTGGTGAATATTTTGGGCATGAAATTCTGTTGAAGAACATTTTGGTTATTAAAGCGTTAAGTTACCAAAATTACAAGAAAATACTTCCTAACTGTAATTTCACTTATCACTTACTGTTGTTCAAGTAGAAGTATATGCAGGGGACATAATTGTTGATGAAAAATTACTTGTTAATTAAGAAACTGTATCTTTTAGATTTAAATCTTTGACACCTTAGAGATATTGCATTGAATACCTGATTGGAATAGCAGGGAAAAACCAGTCAATGAAACCAATACTGTATATCAATGTAGGTGTCAAAATTTCTGTAACCCTTGGTTGGAGATAGCTGATTACCAGAGTACTGCTTGTTGCTACAGAGACCAAAATATTAACAACTGTATGATTAAAAAAATAATAATTCTTGAAAGAAGCAACATTTCCACCTTTTCTTTCTTTTAGCAGGAAATATGTTGCAAGTATGAGCAGTGTACAGCATATACAGATCCTTGTTAGTTTCTGTGTCAACTCGACATTTTATTTGTCACTTCACCATTTATCAGAAACTCACATTCAGATCTAAAACTGGTTTTGCTCATTTTAAGTCACAGAGATATGATTCGACTTAGAGTATAATTCTGCTAATATTCCAAATTGAGTTATATTCTTGTATCATTATTATTATGTTGTTTTAGTTTAGGTATGTCTCTGTGAACGTGAATATTTCATGTATATGGATTTGGAGGATCTTTTGCATCTGTTTTCTGAAAACCTTTAAAAACTATCTTTCTGCAAAACCAGTATAAACTATTTAGCTTATAGTTTGGAAAACAACAAATAAGGTCATAAAATGTTAAAATTTAAGTATTGCTTGTTGCAGAATGATGTAGCTTGTTTAGCGCCTACCCTTTTTCTTTAGCAAAGAACAGAATTTGCGGTCTTTCTAAACTGTATTCTAGCCTGTGGCTGGTTAAGTTAACACAGGTTTACTGTTGTTGAGGTGTTTTGAATGAGATTCTTAATAGCTAATACATAGTAGTGCATAGGTCTACATCTATTACTGGGGTGGGGGGACATTGTCACATAGAAAACCGATTCTTTTAGCACAGATAGTGAGTACGGAGCGCCACCGAGTGGTAATCTTTATATTTCATCTTTCTTTGAGTGCACCGTGTACACTTTCCATTTTATCCATTATCATATGATGTCATGTATTTAGGCTTGTAAGTCTGTGGTGAGTGTGATGTAAATAAATTACACACAATCAATGAGGGTATGAAGGCTTGCTCTTCAGGAAGCCAGTTACAGCTTTTAGTATCTGCAAAATACTGTGACATTAAGGAAAAAAAAAGCTGATGTTCTCTTAAATGTCTCCAATTGTTTTTTCGTTTCATTTAATTTTTAACAGAAAATTTTCACTGAAGATGGGAAAGAATATATGTATGAAAAACTTTGCCTGTGTGCTGGAGCAAAACCAAAATTAATTTTTGAAGGAAACCCATATGTGTTAGGAATCCGGGATACTGACAGTGCACAGGTAAATGTGTTTTAGACTCATAAGTGTATAATATATTCCCGCTTCTGATGCAAAACACTAAAAACGATTGCAGAGTGAAATGGGGAAACATAAGATGATGTTTGTTATTACATATATCCTTAAACAGGAACACTTTCAGTAGCAGGGAAGTAGCCTTAAAATACGGTTAAATAAATTAATTAGTCACTAAATTTATTAAGTTTATAGATAGCTCATAGACAATATTTTGAACATGATAATCTAGAATAAATGGTATTCTTTTACCCTCCAGGCAGAAGCCAATCTGAGAATATAAACGGGAAGTAGGCACCAGTAGAAACTTCCCTGAGAAGGTACGAAGGGCTACTTCTTACAGTGAAAAGCTACTGAAGGACACTTTTCTAGTTCTACGGTAGCCTCTCCTTATTGTACAGAAAAGTTAGTTATAGTCAAAGATGTGGAAAAGTTTTCACATGAGGAATGACTTAATAGAGTAAAACTTCAGTTTGGAAGTAGAAAGTGAGGTGGTTTCACTGCTATAGGTCTTTAGAATTAGGGTAGGCGGGGTGAAAGTGAACGCTGCTTCTCCGTAACATAAGAACTGTAATTCATCAAATGAAGTTTGATGTTGAGAATAAAAAAGGAGCTACGTTTTCAAGCAAGCTGAAGTGAAACTATGAAGTTGTTGTTGTTTGTTTTGAATATTAAAACTTTACCTGAGTTTAAAAAAAGAAAAAAAAAAAGGGAAGGAGAAGAAGGGGGAAGAAAAAACACACAAAAAAGACAGCCTTTATCTTGTCTAAATTGAAGAGAAAGATGCCACCTGAGTGGCATCAGGTGTCTGGAACCTGTGAGGGTCTTCCAGGATAGTATTGTGTGCTTGTCATCTTCTGATGGTCTTCCCTGTGCATCCACTATTGGCCACTGTGGGAGACAGTAGACTGGGCTGTCATTTGTCAAAGCTGATGTTGGACTTTGAATGAGACTGAAAATACTTGTTTCTGGTTTTTGGGGCTTTTTTAATGGTGACCGGTTGCATTCACTAGTCCCCTCTGATAGAACTTCAGTATCCTTCTCTGAAGAGATTAAAGGACTGCAGTTTTCATGTTTAGGCTCTCTGATACAATTAGGTAAACTGGAAGCATGGATGAATGGATTTTCATGTAACTGCAATAGCTGGTCTGACAGTTGTGATTCTTAATTTGCTTGAAAGAAAATACTTGACGTGGTTATATTATGATCTAAAAAATACCGTCTGGGCTATATTTTTTTTTCTCTCACCACTAAGATGGATTTGGAGACTTGTTTCTTTCTGAAAGTTTTTTGCACAAATAAAATTGGTTCTTTGATTTGCTACAAATTATTTTTTTAAATTCCTGAGTTTTGATCAGGAATTTTTAAATTCCTAAATTTCTGCTATCTTTGCCTTTTTAATGTTATACAAATTACTGTGAAAGTTATGCAAGTTGTGATAAAACTGGATTAATAGATATCACAATGCTAGTGATCTCTAGGACAGAGAAAAGTCTCCTGGATTCTATTAAGGGTTCTGTCAAATTGGCTTAAATGTAATTATTGAACTTCTCCTGTCTCAATTTGAGGCTTGTAAGGCTGTATATATAACTTCATCCCTTAAACCTGTGAGTTCTATCACATTCATTAGCTTCTGTAACAGATCTTAGCATAAGAAGATGTGTATCAGTAGTCTGAGAAAATCAAAATAAGACAACTAAGAGAGCAAGAAAATATTTATAAGTATGTAATTGATCAGTATGAGGGAACATATGATCTAAGTTGTAACTGACTTTTTTTTTTGCTTCTTAATGCAGGCTTTTCAGAAGAATTTGGCTCAATCTGAGAGAATAGTAGTGGTAGGAAATGGTGGGATTGCACTTGAATTGGTGTAAGTAAATGACTAAGTTTTAAAGATACATATGCAAATAAAATCTTTAACAATGCTATGTTAAATCTAGCGTGCATGAGTTTGGGAGAAGGTTGACTTATAAAATTGTAGCTCTTAAAGCATTTAGTAGCAAAATTTATTAAAATAACTTTTTCACAGTATAGTGGCGCTTACTGTCACAAAATCCAGCAAGCTTCAGAAGAAGCTTTGACACATAGATATCAAGAATATACAGCATTTTTCTGATTTGGCATCAACAGAGATTTCTGTTAAGACTATTAAGGGCAATATTTAAGTTATAAAACTTGTCTGACTTCTGGAGACAGAAGATGTAACAGGAAGAGAGAGGCAGCTTATCTTGCACCAAGCCTAATTTAAGTTCTTAGAGCTTTTGAAGTGTCTGACATGGCCTTTGTCACAGGTAGGATATTGAACCGTGTGGTCCTGCAGTCTGCTAGATTACAGAAACATCTGTATTACACAATTATATGGTCTTGTTTTGTGTTGCAGGGAATCACTTTTTCACTTTCACTAGATTGTCCTCTGCATGTCTTTACCAGCTCATGTTCCAGGTAGCACAAACAAGATCCAAATGTCTGTTCTTAGCAGTGGGCAGTCTGGCAAAAATGCACGTTTTTTTCATTGTGGGGAACAGGAAATATTAAGTAGTATTATAAATTTGATCTGCCTCTCCTCACCCCCCACCCTGGTTCAGTTGAGGTGCTGGTAAGAAAGTATGACCTGTCAACTTGAGATTTTTTTTAAATGAGTTTCTTACGTAAATATTTAGAAGCAGTAGTGGATTTGATAGGCTTAGAAGTCTTGGATCCCTTATTTTTTAGCTTCTGGAATGAAACCTGTCATGCTTCTAGTTGTGTTGCTAAGAGTCAGATCCCTTTCGGGTAGCCTGTCACTTTATCCACTGTTTAAATGTCCACAGGTATGAAATTCACGGCTGTGAAGTAATCTGGGCTATCAAAGACAAAGCCATCGGGAACACTTTTTTTGATGCAGGAGCAGCTGAATTTCTCACTCCAAAGCTAACTGCTGAAAAACGAGAGACTCCAATTGAATGTAAAAGAACCAAATATACAATGGAAGGTATGGTGTTTTAGTTTCCTAATGCTGCAGCAGCAGCATTTAATATTAAAGATAGTCGTAAGATCAGTTAATTTAGCAGGCCGTAAATAAGGCTATTGATGATATCAGTAAACATTTCCTTCTTCAAAAAAGTAACAGTAAAAAAGCGATATAAAAACCAATCCAGAATTTATGTAGACACATGACAGCATGTAATAGTCACCTAAAAACTGTAAAAAATGTGCTTATCTTTATAGCTGTGCCAAGTTTACATTTCATTTCCTGTATTCCATCTGCTGAAGAACCTGTTCTATTTTCTGCAATATTTTAACATTTTTCTGAATTACATCAGCATTATGTAGGAAGGAGCTTTCCTGTAATAAGCTATTGGAGGTCGAGATGAAACCTCACAGAACGTTATTACAGAGGCAGTGAAACTGCAGTCATAATCACAACAGTTAATTAGAACTGCATGAACAAACATTACAGAAACATATATAGGACTAAAATAACAACAAAAAGAAGAGCATGGTTCTAGACTTTAGGTTGGAAGAATAAATTGTAAAAGACTCAGCCTAAACATCACAAAATGGCACCCAGGGTTTTTCAGATGTATCATGGTATGTTAGAATTTGGACTTTCATGCAGTGGAGGGGATGGTGCACATTTGCTAGCAGATGGACATCAATTTAAGTATTAGCACTGATATTGAGCAACTAAGTCTACCATGGGTCTCCAGAACCCTGGTGCTGTTGGGGGTTGGTCTCCATGCAGGCACCTAACAGTGGCATGGTTGTTTCGGAGATGAGTGAAGTAATGAAAGGCATGAAGTTGAAAGGTGTAAAAATACTGGCTTGGAGTTCGATTTGTCTGCAAATTAATGGGTTTTGGGACATTACACGTTTTTTTTTCTTCCCTTCTGGCAACCAGATCGTATTTCTCTTAGTTGAGAATCCTTGTTCTGAATTCTGCAGGCAGTGAAATATGCACGCTAAGTCTGATACTCTCCGTCTCTTTCCTTCAGGAAGTGAGGAAAAAGAAAGACGTAGAGCAGCATCTGACAAACCGGGCAGTGCCTTAGGCCCCGATTGGCATGAGGGCTTATGTCTTAAAGGGACTAAAGAGGTATGGTCATAATCTTGCTTACACATTTGTTTAAATATTGCTTTAAGTGGGTGAGGATGACAGAATGTGAAATGTCACATTCAGGATTATTAGAAAAATAAAAACAAAATGTGCTTGAACTGATTTTCCTGTTCTGTCAGAATTAAACAGGAAAATGTTAACACAAATAAAGTAATTTTCTGCTTGAACAGGAAGATGGCTGATCGGATCCACTGGCAGAGTTTTAGCAATTTGCTCTTCAGATTGAGACATAAATGTTGGTTTGCATATTTCTGTAGGACTGGTGTCAATCCTAGTTTTAACCAGAAGCAGTGGTTCCTCTATTGTCCTGATTTTAGCTGCCATACGTACGTTTTCTTATGTGAAAAATAGAACAGTCGGATTTGTACAGAGGTACAGGGAGCATCAGTCTCCTGTCACAGCAGGTAATGAAATGCAAAATCAGTAGTGGACATGAGCATTGTGAAGAGTTGTGTTTGAAATAAAGTAAAAATCCTCACATTTCATAATTGTTTATCAGGTTTTTATTTGTTAATTTCTTAGACGTTAGGTGTTTGCATCTGTTACACTCATTTGAAAAAAAAAAAGTCCTTTCAAAGGTCCTCAGTCATAGATTCTACAGCAATGGCTTTACAATACCAACTAAAGGACGTTTAGGATATTTAGCAGAGTAATCGGTGGTATTTTGGCTGTTGAAGGCTGTGGAAATGTGTTTGTGTAGTGGAGAATAAATCTGTTCAAGGCCTGAATCCACAAAATGGTTTAGAGAAACAGGTAACTTTCCAACATCTGCCTCGAGCTCAGAATAAGAGTAAGTGGTTGAAACATGGGTTGATGGAACAGGGTATATTTTTCTTCTTACAGCATTTGGAACATAAGCCTTTTATTGTTATCAGAATTCAATTAATGATAGAAAAATGAAGGGTTTCAAATACTGAAAGATAGGAAAGACGAATTTACTTTTTCCGTTCTGAATTCTCTTCCTGTAAACTCAGGGGAACTTGAATATGTTTTCTGGCACGCCAGAAAAATCTAAATTGTCATGAAATTTCAAGGAACATCAGGTATCTGCTGAAAAAGCAGGTAAATTGCCATTTGCTATGGTTAGATCTGTGCCAAAAAAGGGAAAAGTGTGGGAACTCAGCTAATGTGTCATGCTTTAGGATGGGATATGTGTGGGGTTTTGTATTTTTTTCTTTTCCAGTTTAGTAACATGTCAATTTAGGTGAAGGTATACTTGCTATTAAAAATACTGTTATTGCTAATCATTATGTTTACAATTTTGTCAATCTTTCTTTAGTTTTCTCATAAAGTACATATTGAAACACTATGTGAAGTAAAGAAAATATACTTACAGCAAGAATTTATACAACTGCAACGGACTTCTTTGACTTTTCCTAAGGAAGAGAAAAATGTAGAACCAGACAAGGGTAGGTGCCAGTGCTGATTAGAAAGAACATGTTGAAGATGAAGCAGTGCTGGAGCATGTTTGATCATCTTTGCTGTTTGAGAGCAAATACAGATTTGGAAAAAAAAATCCTTTATGAATTAAGTGGAGCTCTAGCAATTTAGAGTAGTTGAGAATTTGATTTATGGGCTACAATTGAATTACAAAATGTTATGGGTCAGACTCTCTTTCCACAAAGTCACCTAAATCCTGTAGGCAGAATACTCCCTCCTTGCGACCGTCCAATAAAATCATATGTTAATAGTAGAGTTCAAACAGAAGTGGGGAAAAAAAAAAAACCAAAAAACATTTAGCATCAGAACTGATGTAATCTTTCAAAGAAAGTAGAAGAAAGTATCACTTGTTTCATGAGTAATTCTATCTATAAATTGTATGAATGAAAATTAATATTTAAAATACTATTTTAATAGCCAGTTACTTTCAGCATACAATTCTAGGAAGTCAAATCTCTGACATTCTTTCTGTTTTTAAGGCATTTCCTGTGCATCTGTAAATTTATATCGAAAAGAATATTTGGCAATTGTGTACTTCAGAGACCATCCCGTGGGTCTGAAGCAGTGGCAGGACACAGTATTTTCCCCCGACAAATGAGGGCTTTGATTTAGGAAAATTCCAGAGAAAGTTAATAGTAGGACTTGGAGCTAAGCTCCAAAATCCCATTTTTCTAGTCCTGAATGAAGTTAAGAAATGTTGTAGGTAATCTCTGGTTTTAGGGGGTTATTTTATTTTTACCCTACCTAATCAATTAGATACCTCCAGAAGATTTTTTTTCTTCTTTTTATTTCATATCTTATAATAAGATATCATTAATAAAATAACTTCTGTTGGTTACGTTCTCAGGGCAAAATTTTCCCCTTTTTTAGTGCTATGGCCTGTATATGTGGAATTAACTAATGGAAAAATTTATGGATGCGATTTCATTGTCAGTGCAACTGGAGTTGTGCCAAATGTTAAACCATTTCTTGATGGCAATAACGTAAGTATACTGATTTCTTTTGAAGTTTAAGCTGTTTGTTTGTTGGATTTTTTTAAGTAAGGTGAAATAAGCTCTTTCAGCTGGTTTATACTTCTGACATGAAACACTGATTGATAAAGGTTTTGAATGTTGTACAGCCTTTCAAAATAAGGCAGGTACATTGATACTGGAAATGCCCAACGTGATAAAAAATTAATTTCACTACTGTTCTTGGCTTATTATATTGATACTCATGATATGTACTGATACACAGTATATATACAATATACTGTTAAGATTAAGCCTATACAAAGAGAGAAAAACATTTGTATAATTGGTTGATGTTGCAAAAATATAGAATAATTTTTGTGTTAACTCTGCACCATATTCTTATCTTACAAATCTTAAAATTTTCTCCTGGGAAGGAATCAGTTATTTCCAGTAACTTTCATCTAGGAAACTGAGCTACAGAGGTGCTCATATTCATTGAGGGAAGTCACACTTTGAATCAGCATCCAAACGTGGATGATGATTACAGAGCTCATAGCTGCCATGTGGATGTTCAGGCCTTGAGATCATTCTGTCTCCATTTTAGGTGTCTGGTTTAACCCCAGCTGGCAACTAAGCACCATGCAGCCACTTGCTCACTGCCCCCCCGGTGGGATGGGGGAGAGAATCAGAAGAGTAAAAGTGAGAAAACTCGTGGGTTGAGATAAAGACAGTTTAATAGGTAGAGCAAAAGCTGCGCCCGCAAGCAAAGCAAAGAATTAATTCACTACTTCCCACCGGCAGGCAGGTGTTCAGCCATCTCCAGGAAAGCAGAGCTCCATCATGTGGAACGGTTACTTGGGAAGACAAATGCCATCACTCTGAATGTCCCCCCCCTTCCTTCTTCTTCCCCCAGCATTATATGCTGAGCATGACATCATATGGTATGGAATATCCCTTTGGTCAGTTTGGGTCAGCCAGCCCGGCTGTGTCCTCTCCCACCTTCTTGTGCACCCCCAGCCTACTCGCTGGTGGGGTGGTGTGAGAGGCAGAAAAGGCCTTGACTCTGTGTCAGCACTGCTCAGCAGTAACGAAAACATCCCTGTGTTATCAACACTGTTTCCAGCACAAATCCCAAACATAGCCCCATCCTAGCTACTATGAAGAAAATTAACTCCATCCCAGCCAAAACCCGTACATTAGGGTATGTGGTGTTTTGCAGTTCCTTCTGATGAGGAAGTAAAATGCTGTCATCTGAATAGAGCAGAAGAAAATTATGAAAACATACCTCTGATGTTGAGCCATGAAATATTTCAAGACCTACGTTACGAAGTTTAGATTAGGAATTAGGTATTTGCAATGGTATTTTGTGGCCTTGGCAAAAATACAAAATGAACTCTGAAGACTCGGTGTCCCTGTAACATACGTGGTGTGACTTGAAATTTGGCAAGCTCTGTTGCTTCCCTGCCTAGGTATCTGTGGCAATATTTTGAAAACCTATGCTGTGTTCTAGAAATAACGCTTAATGCTTTGTGTCTTGCCACTCTAGATAGTCTCATGTTAAATAATTAGTTACTCAGTATGTAATGCTATTCTAAGCTTTTTTTAATACAGTTTGCGATATTTTAAAGGATATGTGAAGGTCACTTGTAAAATGCAACACTGATCTGTTCTTAAACCTGGTGAGAAAAGAATGCAGAGATTGCTAGGAAATTCTACTTTTGTGGGCTCATTTTGTCTTTGCTTATTTGAAGGGCTCTAGGTTCGGTAAGATTCAGGGTAAATTCTGCAGGGGGCAGGGTTGCCTTATAGTATGGGGAAGTAATACTTTTATATGTGGACAGTTGTGAAAAATACTTCGTTATGGCACTCTTTGGGGGATCTGTTTTCTTCCCTTGAAGACGACGGAGTCTGGAGATGGTGAGGTTTGAACACCGTGTTTCTCTTGTGGTTATCGGTCTTTTCCAATTGAGTCAGGTCAGATGCGAGAAGGAATAGCCATAAACTGTTTGCACTGAATGACCACCCTCTCTGTTGCTACACGGCATCCAGAAGAGCATCTTGCTGGGTTCCCGTAGTATTTATTGATATAACTTTGTCTTCAAATCTTGTGATTAAGCACTGAAATTTTTTTGGGAGTCTGCCACTAAAGAGTAACAAATGAGATGACTGCGTAAAATGGATGAAGTTGAATTACTTAGTTTAAATGATTATTTTTGCTAGTGCTGATCTATGCAAATACTTTAGTTTGCTGTAGGTGAAGATGGAGGTCTTAATGTAGATAAACACATGCGCACATCCCTGCCAGATATATATGCAGCTGGAGATATCTGCACGGCGTCGTGGGAACCTAGTCCCGTGTGGCATCAGGTAAATCAAATCATGGGATTGTGCCCTCAGCAGCAGTCTAATCTACAAAGTAAATTACATGCTATTACACAGATGGGAGAAAAGAAAGTTTAATTGAAGCGGAATCCAGCGAACAAGTAAATAATCCCGGGTGTGTTGATGACAGATAATTTTATCTCTGTGGCTGAAAGCCAAGCTGTTCAGCCTTTCCGAGTACAATGAAAATACGTAGTATGCGCTGATGAGAACAGCGAGTGTCGGTCACTGCGCAGTGACATGTGTCTGTGTTTTTAAATCTTTTTGATTTTTTTTTTAGATGAGACTGTGGACTCAAGCTAGGCAGATGGGATGGTATGCAGCAAAATGCATGGTAGCAGATACTTTAGGGGAATCTATTGATATGGATTTCAGCTTTGAACTATTCGCCCATGTTACAAAATTTTTCAATTACAAGGTAAAGTAAATACAGTCTAATAGTCTTAAACCACTGAGTAACACACGTATTGCTTATTTATATTCACTTGCCAACACTGAACAGATGCTTTAATATTGACAAAAGAGTTTTCTCTATATAATAATTAATCTTAGTTTAGATTTTCTGCATTCATACTAACTTTGCATGCTGAAACTGAAGAGGGCAAAGATCTTTACAGATATGTTACAAATTTTAATTGGTGAATGACAATTGATCTGTTTTGCATCTCTGTGTATATTCCGGTTCATTAAATTTCTGTTCATGGATAAATTCAACACAGTTCAGCGTGGTAACTGGTTCATTATTGGGTTTGTGTAGGTGAATCTTCGTCAAGGTGAAGACTTCTAATTCTGTTGTGGGTTTGAGAGCCAACGAAGGGAGGAGGTTCCCTAGGGACAAATATTTCCCTGTTTACCTCAGTCTTCTGAAGCTTAGACCTGTTATCAGCAGAAATACTAAAAGCCACTGCAATGATCTTACGAGTGCTTTTTCTTTTTCCTTCTGTTAGGTGGTGGTATTGGGGAAATACAACGCTCAAGGCTTGGGTTTAGACCATGAACTCATGCTGAGGTGTACCAAGGGACAAGAGTATGTTAAAGTCGTGATGCAGAATGGCCGAATGATGGGAGCTGTGCTGATTGGTGAAACGGACTTGGAAGAAACCTTCGAAAACTTAATTTTAAATCAGATGGATCTTTCAGCCTATGGTGAAGATCTCCTGAATCCAGATATTGATATAGAAGATTATTTTGATTGAACAAAACCCCGTTTTGACACCAAGTAATGTGTCTTATAAAACTGTTTCCTCAGGATTACCAGAAATGAGGGATAAATGCAATTCCTTATTAAGATTTTGCGTTGATTTTGTCAAAATACTGACCGGCAAATTAAATTGATCTGTGTAGAAATGCAGCCACAAAAGCAAGTGGATTAGTGTCAGCAAAGAGTTTTCATCTAGATTAGATGAGCGTGTTGGGAACAGGGCTAGAACAGTCTTAAAAAATGGGCTTCGCTGCACTGTTAAGGTAGCACTGCATTCACTTGAATGCGAGGTAGCCTTTGCTTTTTAAAAGTAAATAAAACGTGTTAAATCCCATGCCTGCCTCATAGCCCCCTTCTTCCCCAAAGCAAGCATGATTCACCTGCCACGGTTACCAGAGCCCACTTGCCCCATGGCTTGGTGCCGTGCATGTTCCTCATCCCAACCAGTAAGCCACCCTTGTGAGCCAGGATGCCTGGATGTGATGGTGCTGCCTTACCCGCCTAAAGCTACCTCCGGACTTGGGTGGTGTGAGTATTGGCTAGGGTGGGAAAGCCCCTGCTTCCTAAAACTACTTGCTCAGGTGAACATTTACAAGGCACTCACAGGGTGAGTTGCCATCCCACTAGCACCCCTCCACTGCTCAGACCTGTGAGTATTGCCACAGGCTTTTAGACTCCTATTCCAGCTGAGGGTACCTTCTCTCTCGAGCTGGCTCAGATCAGAGGACATCTTTAGGGCACAGGGTGCTCGGAGCTCTCACTAACTGGAATGTGGTCTGCAAATATACAGCAAGATGGATGCTTCATCTACACCCACCCCCCATAAGTTTATTTCTGAAATAAATGTATCTTCTACTCGGCTAAGTACAGAACACACAAACTTGGAACAATGAAGGCCAGGATGAGTTGTCAGTTGAGAGCAGCTTTTTTACTGCTTGTCACTTCTGTTGTTCAGGTGCTGTGGTGCATCCTGTCTGATCCATGTGCGGTGCACTCCAAGGAAAGGCAAACACGACAGCACTGGTGGATGTCGCCTGCAGTGGTCTTCCCTGTCAAGAGCCTGCGGAGCAGGCTGCTCTATCCAGATGATGTGGTAGATGGTACTGGATGCCGTTTTGCGTGCAAGTCCTGTATCCCGATGGAATTCTTCACAGACAACTATTAGTCACTTAATGAAAATGTGCATGGGACTATGTGTCTTGGCCACTTTCTGCCCTCTCCTCATTTCCACTGTCATGCATGTCGGTTCTAGGAAGGAATTTTTGCAGGTACTAAGCTCCAATTTGACTTGTGGTAGCTAGTGACAAAATACCTACTATTAAGTTGCAAATGGGGGTTTGAGCTGTTTGTTTTCAGTTGTAACTAGCTCCCTGGCTGTATGTTTAGTTACGCAAGATGCACTTTACTAACAGTGATGTGTATGTACAGGCTTGCTTCAGTCAAGTTCCTTCTTTAGTTGCTAGGCATAATTTAGTGCCTAGGTGACACAGCCAAACAACTTAAGCTATTCCTTAACGTCCTCTCCGTATTCCATAGTGCCATCCATGGACATAGGTTGTTTCATACTGGCTTTTGTGTTTGTTCTACAGTTGCTACTTGGGAGTTGCTGTTTATTTAGGGACAAACTGGGAACAGTTTGTTGTACTCCACTAAATGCAAAGTTGCCAGTACATACTGAGACTTCTCCTGGAAAATCACTCTAATTACTTCTTAAGAGAATGAGTGTTTCATTAAATGACTTAATTCCACTTTTGGCAAAGGTTCCAGTTAAACAACGGGTGAAATACTAAGCTTTACTCACTGACAAGATTCCACCAGAAAAATGAAGAGCATGTTCTTAATCATGTTTGTTTTATACTTAAGTTGGTATATGAACATGTGTGTCGGGCATCCAAAACGAAACCTACCAGAACTTAACGTTTATAATGAGTTTGAACTTGCCCTACTGATCATTGGCTGCTAGAATCTTAAAAAATAATCTAATCTAGCATTCAGCCTCACGTGTGAAGTCAGCAGTAGCTGTTGGGTCTTTACCATTCTGGCAGCAGAGTTACATGGTTCTGGAAACACTGATGAACATCAAAGGAAGTCTACAGGTATATATTTCTACTTCATGTACCGTTAAATATTCTCCCTGCTGAAATGGGAGGCAGAAAAATTGTAGCTGAAGATTTTCTGTAGTCCATAGAGATTGCTGAGGGAAGAGATTGTGACCCTTC